ATTGTCCAAAGTGAACCACATTTAGGGGCTGGAGCGACAGCGCGGTGGGAAGGGCGTTTGCCTTGCACGTGGCCGATCTGGGTTTGACTCCCAGCATCACATATGGTCCCCTGAGCTCTGCCAGGAGTAATTCCTGAGTGTAGAGCCAGGAGTAACCCCTGAGCATCGGCAGGGTGTGACTCCCCCCAAACAAAACAAAAACAAAACTAAAACAAAGTGAACCGTGTTTAATGAGAAGAGAAGAGAAAGAAGGGTGAAGGAGGAAGCATGCAGATTGGGGAAGACTAATAATCAACATCAGATCATTTCCTGAAACTCAACAGGATCTTCATGGTATTGCATTCAAATCACTCAGGATATGAGAAATACTGGCCACATAAGGAACCAGAAAAATCTGATGATTCAAGAAAAAGACAGTAACATATGCAAATATACAGATGACCCAGATGTTCGATGACTGGATAAAGAATTTTTTTTTTTCCCTTTTTGGTTTTGGGTCACAACCAGCGATGCTCAGGGGTTACTTCTGGTTTTGCACTCAGGAATTACTCCTGGCAGTGCTTGGGGGACCATATGGGATGCCAGGGATCGAACCTGGGTCGACTGTGTGTAAGGCAAATGCCCTATCCACTGTGCTATCACTCTGGCCCCGACCAGATAAAGAATTTCAAGCAGGTATTCTAAGCATCATAAACATTCTTCGGCAGGATGTTAGGAATTCTCAAAAGAGACAAAGAAGCTGAGAAGAAAAAAAAAAACCTAACACTTTAGAATTAAAAACTACAGCAACTAAATATAAATTTCACAGAATGGGTTTATAAGCAAAATGGAAAAATAGAAAATAGAATTGATGAATTAAAAGGCCGGGTCAATAGTTCACATGACCGAGTCTAAATTATATAGTGAAAAAAAAAATTCTCAAGATGAACACAGCTTCTGGGAATGATGGTACAATATCAAAATTCCTGCTATTGTGTTTGTGGAGTATCAGAATCAGAAAAGACAGAAACCATTGTAAAAGAAAGACGGTTGGGTGAGAAAACATTTAGGAATCCGGAAAACCAAATAGGATGAGTTCAAGAAAGATCATGATCTGACCGCTAAAACCAAAGATTAAGAAAAAAATAATCTTAAAAGAAGTAGAAGAAAAATCCAGATAGGGAAACAGCTATTCAACACATTACTGATTAATTTAAAAATAATTCAGTCACATTTAAAGATCAAAAGATGACAAAATATCTTCCAGTACCAAAGCAAATGTCTGCCTCAAGTTTTATCTGTTGGAACATTTTTAAGGAATTGAAAAAAAAAATGTTGGCCATGTGCAAGGTTGGACCTGCTGTACTCTCTCTCCACCCTGGAGACAACCTCCTTACCCCTTTTATTTTTCAGTGTCCAAATATCTGTGCTGACCCTTTGAAAAGAAAGAGTGACACAGCGGCAAAGGCTGACGTCCGCCATGTATGCCAGTAGAGCCATCAATTCCTCACCCAGCAGAGGCATGTGAGTCCACCCTCACTGAAAAGGCTTGACTGGAAGAATGGGGGAGATGGCTGTGTTGCCGACTTGGTACTGGGAACGCGTCTGGGGTTCACAGCACGACTATGAACACTAATTCTGCTATGTCATTTGCCAGCCTGTAGCTCCATGGAGGTCTCCGTGGCACAGGGCTTCCTGCACATCAAACGGAGCAGATGGGCCTTCTGCAGGGGAAACGTCTGCCCCGGAGCGATGTCCAGTCATGGCTCTAGTACTGTCCCTGAACACGCTGACGCCTGGCTCCAGTCTGAGCCCTTCCTTGAAAATACTCATCAAAGAGAACTAAAGAACCCCAAACTAGCGGTTCCTTCCAGATAACTTGAGACAACAAAGAAGCTTGTCCCTCATAGCGGTCTTTATTCTGCCTCGTGGGCCAAAGTAAGATGATCAAACTGCATGATGACACATGTCAGATGGGTTATCCAAGTTGAATCCTAACATTTCAATTTCTCTCTTTTGGAGTGTGTGTATGTGTGTGTGTTTGTGTGTGTATGTGTATGTGTGTGATACTTGTCGTAGCTCAGAAGCTACTCCCACCTCTGTGCCCAGAAACTGAAATCCACTGTTCTAAACTCTCGCTTGTTCCCCTGCTCACTTCCTGGGGGTCACAATATATCCAGAACAGTCACGGTCACGGTCCTCCCGTTGTTCATCGATTTGCTCGAGCGGGCCCAGTAACATCTCCATTGGAGACTTTGTTGTTACTGTGTCTGGCATATCGAATACATCACGGGGAGCTTGCCAGGCTCTGCCGTGCGGGCGAGATACTCTCGGTAGCTTGCCGGGCTCTCCGAGAGGGGCGGAGGAATCGAACTTGAGTCAGCCATGTTGGCTGTGTGCAAGGCAAACGCCCTACCACTGTGCTATCGCTCCAGTAAAGAACAGTCATTGGGGAATATTAAAGGGGTAGGGAAGTGGGTACTGTGGGGCGTGGGTGGAGTGCTAGCCCAAGCCAACAGTCTCACCCATGATTACAGTAGCTGCTAAAGGTCCACAGCTGACTGTCTCTTCAGAAATCACTGAGGCCAAGAGGGACGCTCTACCTGAGGTCTGACTCTTCAAGGGGGACCCATGTCTGATGACTGGCTGAACGTGGCGGGGCTTTGTCCTCATCTGGGACAACTGTGCAGAGTCATCCCAGCTCCAAAGTGGCCGAGACCAGTGTAAATGCATCACACTTCAACCTTCCCCTCTCTCGGATGCTGTTCCCTTCCCTTCCAAGTGTCATTTCTGAGAACGTCCCCAAGTAACTCTCTTCATGCAAAGCTCCACTTGAAGGTTTGTTTGCTAGGAAATCGACCCTAAGTTGAGTAAATGAAATAGACTCTACTCGCTTTGGTGGTGCAATTGGTATTTATAGCTAAAGTGGAACTGGGCCATTTACTGGGCGAAGAAAAACAGAAAGACGTGCACATGAACAGAAGTGAGAGTTGATGAAAAACATTAAAATAAACATACCGCCATCCTAGATTTAAACTAGGACATTAAACCCAACGATACCAGATAAATAATTCACAGTAACAGCTAATTTGTGGGTACTTTCAATATGCCACAAACTATGCCAAGTGCCTTAAGTTTCTTGTAGCTAATCCTCTGAATTAGCCTGCGGACTAATTTCTATTTTATATATGAGAAAATTGGGGCAGAGAGAAACTATGTCTATTGTCTAACTGTTTCCCAAAGTGGGCAATACTGGCCCCGGATGCCAATGGATGGGGGTGGGGTGGGGGTGGAGGTGGCAGGAGCCTGGGGTGCAATTGGGGGCACTGTCTATTTGCTTAAAGAAGGAATATTTCCAGGGAAGCACTGGGAAATTTTCTTCTGAAATGTGTTGAATTTGTCCACATGAATGTGGGGACCTCTGGTCTGAGGTCACAAAGCGAGTCACGGCAATGCTGAGAGCCAGCCTGGCCCGCCCGAGCCCAGAGGCTGTGTGCTCAGTCTGTGCCTGGCCTCTCTGTTGATTTTCTGTCCCACAAAGGCACTCCTCAGAGGGCTGCTAGAGTCTAAAATGGAACTCTGACCATCGCACTATCTCTGCTTCATCTTTTCTTTCCTTTTTTCCACCCCTTTCTTCTTTTGATATTTATTTGAGTCTCTGAAACAAGGTCCACAGATGAGCTTCGCAGATGAGCTTATAAGGCAGCCTCGGTGGGACGTGGGCTGCCGGGGCTTCTGGAAGTGCGTGCAGTGGGGGAAAGTTGCCCATCCCAATTCTGAGAAGGCAGGCCTGGGGTTTTCAGCCACGAGGACCTGCGTACCTGTAGTTTTCAGCAGACCAGGCTCTGTGAGACTCAGTCAGTCCTGAGGTGATGGAGTCTGGCTGGAGGCACGGGTGGGGGCTTTGGAGTGTGGGAGAGGCTGCAGGGCTTTGACTGGACGGAAGCCCGCCCGCCCACCTCTGGGAGAGCCCTGGAGGGGTCAGTGAGAACAGGCGTCCAAGAAATGTTTTGGCTACGTGAGATTTTGAGAATAAGGCTGGTAGGTGGGCTTACGTGGAGACAGTGTGGGGCGTGGACGTGGCTGCCTGGGTTTCTGGAAGCAGGGGGAGGTGGGAGTGCTCCCTCTTTTGCATAAAGGTCAGACTCCCGCGGTATCAAAATACCAGGTCTTTCAAGATTTGGCTCCTGCCCACCTCTTCAGCCTTACCTCTGATCCCCCCAAACACAGCGCTGTGGCAGTGCCCAGGGATCTTTCTGATACAGCCCTCGAGATGTGCCAGCCCCAGCGATGCTTTCCTACGTGCTTAGGGAATAAGGCTACCGCTGACCACCTCTTAAGCACTCCAAATTATACACATCATTTCTGTTTCATTTAATCCTCCCAAGAACCTTATGAGGTAGGTCTCACTTGATAAAAAACCCAAGGGTAAATGACATAACCAAGTTACTAGCAGAGCTAGAGTATGAATTTAATCTGCCAAACAATGCCTATACTTTTACACCAGAGGCTGAAACATGGGACTCGGGGCCCAGGCTGGTCCAAAAGGTGCAGAGAGGGTATAAAGATGGTGGTCTACACCAGTTTGGTAACTGCTGGTCCACAGGTGTTCAGAGAGGTGCTGATTCCCAGGTGCAGAAAGGCAGAGAGCCACTGCCGTCTACTTACTCTAGAGGCATTCAGTAGATGATGAGTGAGTGATTATCCATCTTCACTGTATGAACACAGGTCACAGTTCTGAGGTAAAAATGTGTACTTCAGAAGCACTTTGCTGGACCAGAGAGCCAGCACAGGAAGGAGGGAGCTTGCCTTGCTTGGGGCTGGCCTGGACTCAATCCCTGGCATCCCATATTATAGTCCTCTGGGCAACCCTCCCAGGAGTGACCCCACAGTGCAGAGGCAGGAGTAAGCCCTGAGCACTCTAGGTGTGGTCCCGAAACAAAACCAAACAATACTGAGAGACACTGGGCTGTTACAGACGCTGGATCTTTAGATGTGACTTCCAATTCTTGCGTGCCTACCTTCATGAGATCCTGAAGGCTCTCGACAAACGAAATCTCGGCTTCCACCATATAGAACTCGGCTAGGTGTCGCCGGCTCTGAGAATTCTCTGCTCGGAATGTCGGACCAAAGGTAAACACTTGAGTAAAAGCCCTGCAATTCAAGATTCAGAGAGTAAAAATAGGATCCCTGTGATTAAGGCTGAGTATTTAAACTACACCCAGCAAGCTCTTGAAAACGGGTTTGCGTCTCTGTCGTGTGCACGAATCCACACCTATTAGCTGCTGTACTTCTCGAACGGGTGATAATAATAGTGCCCTCGAAAAATGCGACATTTATAGAAACCATTTTATCCTGATGGAATCTGCAAGTGCACTACAAACCCTATGGCTTACTAAATATAGAGCTACCACCACTCCTGGCCACACTCGGCTGCAGCTGCCGTGAGCCGCCAGCAACTCCACTGCACGGCCCCAAGCGCAGAGACAAGGGAACATGCCACAGCGTGAGAAATCACACGGAAAAACCGGGAGGAGGACGGTTAAGAAGAGCTCCGTATGGGAAGGTAGGCGAAATTTATTTTTGAAACATGTGGGGAAAAAAAAAAAACAGGAGGGACTGAAGCGACAGTACAGCATGGAGGACACTTGTCCTCCTGTTCTTGGTCAACTGGGTTCAATCCCCAGAGCCCCCACCATGGAGTGGTCCCTGAGTGCAGAGCCAGGAGCCCTGAGCACTGCTGGGTGTGGCCCCCAAACAAAGCAGAACAAAACCAAGGGCATGGGATACCCGTGGCCATTTCCTCGGCCAAGGCCCACTGGAGGCCAGGGAGCCACCGAGCGGTAACGCAGGTTGTGCAGCAGGGACAAGGGCCCCGCCAGCCGCCCAGGCTCCGGTGTTCACGGGCAGTAGCTTTCCATCCAAGGGAAAAAATTTCCCCCCTATGGTAAACATACTCCAAAGTTCCGGCCAGACGCGCCTACTAGAATTTCTTGGAAAGACTAAACTGGTTTTGTTCAGAACAGAAACTCTTGCCACCCCCGCCCCCAAACCCCAACAAAAGCCAGAGAGTGAACAATCCCGCTTTTCTTTCCAGCCACCCCCCTGCCCCCCAAACCAGGCTCCTTTCGCCTCAGCACGCAGGCCACTTCAGTGCTCTGTTCCCCCCCCACCCGCCCCACTTCCCGTGGTGCAGGGAATCACAAGATCACACCGTGGGCCTGGATTACTTGGGGGAGGCCATGTTCACAGGGCCTCTGGACGTGTGCCAGGCCCAGCTTGAGCCTCTGTGTCTGCCCTGGCCCAAGAGTATCCTGTGGATCGTTTCCACGGAGGCAATTCTCCGACCTGGACAGCTCTGGCTGTGTTGGGTCCACACCTGCAGGTGCTCAGGGCTGACTCCTGGCTCACTTCTGGCAGGCTTGGGGACTCAATGGGGTCCCGAGTGTCAAAAACCAGGTCAGCTGTGTCCAAGGTAAGCACCCTACCTGCTGTACTGTCTCTCCAGAACCCGATCTACACTTTTGTTAGCCACACCGCTATCCTCTTAGCATAAACTCCTATGTCTTTAGAATTAAAAAAGAAAAATAATAGATACTTTGATCATACGCATAGTCCTCTGCAGGGATTGAACCGAGGTCTCTCTCCTGCATGCAGAGCACGTGTGCCCCTGTCCTCCGGGCTATTCCCCCAGCTGAACTCATGTGTTTTGCTTAGCAAAGTACAACAATTAAAAGCTGTTGTTTTATTTTCTTTTTAAAGTTCGAGGTTAGCATTGGTTTATTTCATTATATAGGTTTCAGGTGCACTGCTTTGGAATTTGACATCTACACTGTGCCAGGACTCCAGTCTGTATTTTCAGCTGATCTCTCCCCTCTCCCTTTACCCGAGTAACACACCATCCCTCTCTAGTCCCTGCAGATAACCAACGACTTCCTTCCTGCCCGTCTGTTTTGGGGTCGCACTGGCTCTGTGCTTGGGGATGAAACCTGGCAGGGCTCGGGAGGCCTCACGCAGCGCAGGGAAAGCGGGGCTGGCTGCATACACTGGCAAGTGCCTGACATGCTGCCATGCTATCCGGCCTCGGGCCACCATCCTTCTCACTAGCTTTATAGAGGTGCGTGCCACATTTCTTCCTTCAGACCACACTGCTTTCAGTGTGATAACGCAGGCCCTGAGTTAAATAGTGTACCCATTTCCTACTACTCCAAGGATAAGACCCCCAACTCCCTGATGCTCCTTCCTCCAGCCTCCGGCCCGGCTCCCTCCCAGCCCGCCCCCAACCTTTCCCGTTCTCGCCATCAGGCCTCTTCCCCAGACGGGCAGGAACTTCCCGTTGCTCCTTCAAGACCTTCCTGGAGGGCCACCGTGTCCCCTGGCTGCCCAAGCCCCCACCCTTGAGAGGGCTACAGGACTTTCCAATGCTGAATGGATCTCTTAAAAAGGCAATTATCCGTTGCAGTATCTTTCTCTCCTTAATATAAACCAGAGGGCTTACCAGAGGCTCGGATCATGTTTTATTGATACTTGCGCCTCCCATGTCTAAAATAAAAACAGGTGCTCCTGCAGAATGAATGAGTGCTAATGATGATCACGGGCTTCCTCTGATGCAAACCCCCACAGCACAATATCTTCAAAAGCATTATCATTACAAATAATGTATAGGGAAATACTCAATGTATTTTACTGGGGCTCTTACACAGTATCTAAAATGAACTATGTAATCAAGTCGTGTCTCAAATAGTTAAAAAAAAAAAAAATTAAAGGGGCCCTTAGTTTCCAATCTGTTGACAGTAGTATATCTATACAAACAAATCGACATTTCTTTCTGGTATTGTGCCACAAGAAATTATATACACAAACATTCACTAACAATCAATTATTCTAGAGGAGAGATAGCACAGCGGTAGGGCACAGCCAGCTTGGCCGAGCCGGGTTCGATTCCTCCGCCCCTCTCGGAGAGCCCGGCAAGCTACCGAGAGTATCTCGCCCGCACGGCAAAGCCTGGCAAGCTCCCCGTGATGTATTCGATATGCCAAACACAGTAACAACAAGTCTCACGATGGAGACGTTACTGGGCCCGCTCGAGCAAATCGATGAACAACGGGAGGACAGTGATTTCTTCCCAGAGTAGTTGTCTTCGGGGCCCACTCAGTGGTGTCCAGGGCTTCCTCCTGGATCAGTGGTCAGAAATCAGAGGACGGATGTGGTGTGGGATGGACGTGAGATCAGTCACGTACCAGGGGAGGCCTTAACCCTCATGCTATCTCCCAGCTCTAGTCAAGGATGCTTCACTGAGATTTTCCAGGGTAGCTCTAGCGTCTCTGTGATACAGACTTTGGGAACTCCTTTTTTGGGTGGTAGTTTTGCTTTTGTTCAGGGGCCCCCACCTGGTAGTACTCAGGGCTTCTGTCTGGCTTTGCACTCCGGGGACCACTTCTCGCAGAGGCTGGGAGGGCTACATGTGGTCCAGGGATCGAGCTGGGGCAGCCACGTGCAAGGTGAGTCTTTTAACCCCTGCGCTATCTCTCTTGCCCTGCTTGGAAATGGGCCGTCCTCCTCTTCCTGAAATCCAAGCACTGTCCGGGCACTACTGGGTGAAAGAGATGAGTGACCTGTGATACAGCACAGAAAAACAGGATCCTACAAAGAACGACCATCACAACTCCCAAGGACATCTGCTTCTTCTCACAAGGTGATTTTGCCCCTGTGGTCTGCACTGAACACACGCATGAGGGCGAGAGGCTTTCCCTACCAATGCAGGGTATGGCCTCTGGAGCAGAACAGAAGTCAACGATCTGGGGCTTTAATTTTAATTACAGCTAGCATCTGGCTGGCACAATCCACCCCAAAAGTTAAGGTAACGGTGTGAATAAAAGCTGCTGGCTCTGCACTCACAGAGAAACAGGGCGGGAGGGTTGCTAGAACCATCCAATCAGCATCTAGTCTTAAAGCAGATGGACGTTTCAATCTCTCAATGGTCATCGCCCATGCCACTGCCCAGTACTCAGTTATGAAAGCAGTGACGGGCTGGAGAGAGAGACAGTATAGTCAGGTGCTTATCCTGTACACTGCATACCCGGGTTTGATCCTCAGCACCCTACAGAGCTCTCTGAGCCCTCCAGGAATGATCCCTAAGCACAGAGCCTGAGCACAGAGTTTAGAAGTCAGCTCTGAGCACCCCCCGATGGGGTCTCTCTCACCCTCTCCAACCGCCAAACAAAGAATAAAGACAGTGGCAAGTGCTCCCTGGGTTCCAGAATTAGATGTGAGAACATCACAATGAACAACTTTATTGCTGATTAAAGAAAGTGTGGTATTGTGACATCTATTTTTTTTTCAGGCTAAGAAAAGCAAGTTTGGTGAGTTTAAGAAGCTTAGCAATGCTGCAGAAGTGAACCCCGGCAGACCCAGAGCACGGAAAGATTAGGGGCAAGTCCCTCTTTCTCCAAGATGATCATGGTACTTAGCTTGGCTTATATATTTTTTCTGTGTGGGTAACATTTGTTTCATGTGAGAATCAAGAGGTTTTTTTCACGAATATTGCTGCCCTTTTGCATGTTACAAGAAAGATATATTTGCAGCAGTATTTTGAAATATTTTGCAAATTATTATATTTCATTTAACCTTTCTGGTCTTCAGTTCTCACAACCGGAGAACACACAGGCAGCCTGACATTCTGGTTCTGGTCTTTTTCTTTCTTTTTTTCTTCTCTTTTCTTTCTTTCTTTTTTTTTTACACAATCAAGTTGTCTCTGGGTTCGTGTGCAGTCATTCTTATTTTTAATATCTGCATATTTTCTCCTTTTCCTATCTTCCACAGACACGAAAGCCACTTGGCAGCAAGCTGGGGCCAAGCAACATTACAAATAAGATTTGAGAACAAGGCCACTTCTAAAATAAGATACAAATCCAGGTGAAAGGCCAGCACTGCTGAGCAGAGACCAGCAGAGAAAGAAAACACTCGGTAACAAGCTTTCAGGAGAGGAAAGCTAAATAAGGAAAGCTCCGGAGCTTGGAGTTGATGTTTAAGATAAGGAGAGTACATTCGATACACACGAACAAAATACGCATCTCCAAAATATATGGCATTTTAAAAATAAGAGGATAGTCCTCTCCCCCGCAAAAAAAAAAAAAAAAAAGAGAGAGAGAAAG